TATATATATATATATATATATATATATATATATATATATATAATTTTAGCATCAGAATATGTTTTATAAATCCGTTAAATGGTCTAAAACGAAACGCACGGAAACTGAAATGGAAAATTTAATATCTGCTGTATGGACTTTTAGCAATGCGTCTATGCAAGTAATTAAAAAACAATTATGCAAAAAAAAAAATTATTTTTGAAGTCAATTCCTACTTAGATCAACAAAGAAAATTTTTATTTTTGTCACTTTTTATTAAATAATTACAAGTAATATACATATGACAGAATCACGATAGTAAGTGGCAAAATAGAAAGCGATTTCCCTTTCTATATACGGTGCTGGGCTATTACTTTTGTTTGCTACTATTTATTCATTAATTAAATTGAAATATTCCAATAAAATAGTATAGTAAAAAGAAGTCACATTCCCAGAAATTAGGCCGTCCCAGGTGGGATTCTAACCCACGACCTTTCAATTACAAGTCCAATTGGGCCATATTAGAAGTCCATTGTGCTACAGGGACACAACGAGGAATTTTCCTTTTTATATAAGGTGTTGAACTATTATTTTTGTTTGTTACTAATTATTCATTAATTAGCGAATTAATATTTCAAAAAACTGTAGTAACATCAAGCGTCGTACTATACAAGTTTAAAAAAATGTAATTGAACTTGAATGGATGAATAAAAAGTATTTATTACTGATTGAAAATTTGAGCAAGATAAATATATAGATGTTTATCTTGGTATATATATAGGGAGAATGTGAACTAATAGTAGGGATAGAAAAATGAATCAGTAAGTAACGTCTTTACCAGGTCTATGATTACTGGTCTATTGGAAGTTAGATAGAACATCACCTACAGTTTTCCAGTAAGAGTAAATGAGAATTTATTTACATTTTTCGTTTAATGCACTCATTTACCAGAAAGTTAAAAGTTAAGGACCCCCCATCTAATACATAACCCACTCTTCATACAAAGATCTTATTTGTTCTGTATGCCATGAATGTATGCATAACAGATTCAGAAATATTCCTACACATAATTTGAACTATTCAGTGATTAGACAAACTGAATGTAACTTAATATTTCATTCATTTTTAAAAAAGTGGAGAATGACATAGTAAATTATATGTAAATTACCCCCGTTTTAAGCACAAGAACTTTAAAGCAAAGTCATAATTGTGTAAATATTGATATTTAAGCTGACTCTGTTTTGACAAGTCAAAGCATTTTACATGCAAATTTATTCCTTAATCAATTAAACTAGCGGAGTTCATACACTGGAAAAATCAGTTGAAAGGATTTTGCTGTGTTCCTTTCTCATTACTTTAAAGCTCTTATTTCCTATCGTCGTTAAACAGTATCTCTTAAGTGAAAGTAAGTCAAAAATGAAAAGAAATTATTGAAACGGAACGAAAACATATAACTAAGCTTCATAACCAACGCAAATCGTTGCCAAAAATATCGGAAACAGAAAAATAAGCTCAGCAGTTCAGGATGTGACAGGCTCTTATGGCTATTGGAATAAAACTCCAAAATTTTGTTTTTTCCTACAAAAACTCATACAGGTAAGAACGAATATTTTATTTTAACAGAAATAAAAAAAGCAAAATTAAGCGCTTCTTAAATAAAAAACACAGCTTTTCAACTAAGGATTTTCAATCTCGAAAAGCATTGTTTGACATATCTTAAAAAAGTAGAATTTTGTCGTCGAGTATCTCCAAAGATTTTTTTATAATGCAAGTTAATTGAAAAAAAATACATGTTTTTACAGAAAAAATATTGATAAAAGCGCACACTTTAGAATAAGGTTTATTTTCAGAAAAAAATTAAATTTAACGGATTTTTGTGAATAAGATGGTCAACAAAAGATGTAGTACAAAAACACAGAGCTTAAGGTCGGTACTATATTATAGAGAAGAAAACAGAGAAGTATGGCATAGAGAAAAAAGGAGAAAAGTATGGAAAAATGTTAATGCTTAAGAGATTGAGAAACTGCATGTCAGAGACTATAAAGTGTATATATAGTAATATTCTATTATAAATTTATAAGATCCAGTATGAGTTTGATTCATAAATGAGTCTTCAAGAAAGGTATCTATTTTCAGCAAGATGCATTTGGATTCAAACGATTATTTTTGCACATCATAAACTGTGGGGGGACTTAATTCTCTACACAGTTAATGGACATTTTGATTTAGAATCGTTTGGTCATTTTCTTCCAAAATGAAAAATAACCACATCTCGTATATATAGGAATTTAAAACTGCTCTTTTTGAAGACAGAAGTAATAAAAAATTGTTTTAATTAATATCCAAAAAGGGTGACATTCTTAATCAGAACCAAGTAAAATCCTAAGAAATACCAAACTGAGAAATGTTCAATTGTTTTAATTATTTCCGCAGTGTTCGAATACTTCTGACACACAAAAAAAATGCACTCAAATTTCTTACTTCTTTCAGCTCATTTTGTGTGATAGCATTTACTTCACTCTAAATTCTTTACAGTTAATAATGCAAAGCTCAATACTTAAATCCATGTGGTTTGCTTTTTTATTATTCAAAAAGTTATAGTTATTAAACTAGGGATATGAATAATTTTTGTAATGTACTGCGTGTATGTAATAAAATTTTGAAAGAAGTTATAGTTAATATATTGAAAGACAACTAACACAAAATTAAAACTATATAGTTTGATATATGCTGCTTTCTTAGCCCACATTACATTATACAGAAAGGATAGTCGATACCATTCAATTCTAATATAATGTATAAGAACCATCAATATTTAAGAAATGTTAACTAAATTTCGTTTATTAATGACATGTTTATATGAAGACTGGTTTTCTTATTCTTGGATAAGAATAATTAAATGTAATGCTCTTTATCTGATAACATGTCACGTAATAGAACTATTTTAAGTTAAATTTTTTTTGAATAATTAAAAGAAATGTAAGGGGTAGTTAGGTATTAATGAAGTTAAACATAAGTAATTTTTCTCGTATGTTTTCACGAACCTCTTGCTATCTTTTCTTGATATTTTATTAAGAACTCTAGTGCTAGAATGAGGTTAGATCAAACAAATAATTAAATCATACTAAGCAAAATTCAGTCTATTAAGAATTAAAAATTAAATTTTAAAACATAAATATATATTATATATATTTTTTTACTTCCTTCTATGTATTAAACACACCAATTTTCTTTGTTGTTTAACATTAAGTAGTTGTTTGTGAAGAGATATTCTGAATCGGATATCAATTA